CTAGACGAGGCACAAACTTGCAGTAAATTTCACTTCTATGTAGCACATTTTATCGGTAAGAGGAAAAGGTTAGTCCTAACCACCTCTCTTTCTGCCCAGCCTTTTATTTTCCAACCGCCACCTCCATTTTGTGTCATTTTTCATGCGCATTTTTCACTCCCTACGAGTCAGGTTTGTGGCGGTATTCAATGAGAGTCTTTGTTTTTTTGTTATGTCGTTTACGAATACAATTTTGTTTTTGCTGATTAGTCAATCGGTACTAGCTGTGCTGACTATTCTTGCACAAAAAGAGGAGGTGGAGAAGAAGGATTTTCTGTCATACTTTCAAGGTTTGTAGTATTATACCTGTTAGATCTGAGCCGTAACTGTGGCTAAGTCTTTCGCACGTGAACAGCTGCATCTCCAGTCCGACACATGCACATACACAGACACTCACCTACAATGTAGTCATCTGATAAGGAAGTGGTGTGTGCCCAAGAAGTGTCGGGCAGGTGGTGAGCGCTGTGTCTGTTCATCCAACAAACATTTAAATACATGGGTCATTTCCTGTAGTAAGTCAGCTAGACAAGTCAATTGCAACACGTAATTTTTCCTCATCGAAAATTTAGGTTGGGTCTCCCTGGATGTGAGGCAAGTGCTATTGAGGAATTCAGCACCAGAGTTAGTTTTTTCTAATTACTTCCGAGTGGTGTCCTCTGTCACCGCGAACTATGCTTTCTCAAAATGTGATGAAACAAATTTGATGAGAAGCTGACGCAGCTTTGTGCTGGGTTTTAGCTTAGATCGTAAAGCAGACAAGGTCGACTCCAACCTGTCATATTCAGAGGAAGGGGGAAGTGATAGAGTTCACAATCCAGAGTATTGAGCCAGTACTACTGTGAGATTGACGCATTTTCATCTCTGTCTTACAGCGTACGCATATAAACAATCTATTTGCACATCTCCAAGGAATCATTACAATAGTGTTAGCCGAATTAATCACATAAACATATTTGTTCACTTGACACAACAACGGGCAATTCTTCATGGACTTTATTTACCTATTATTAGCATCATGAATTGGCCTACTTATTGAATGATGTCAGGAGCATGACCTTTTCCCCACTCTCTTTTAAGGCATCATTGTTTTGATATTATCGAAAAAAAAATTAGCCAACATTCTATTTCATTAAATGTTACAATCTTTTATTCAGTCCTATCACACGCGTTAATGGGTTGCTGCTTTTGTTATCTTGGCTACGTTAAGCTTCTTGAAACACATTTCCCATGGCTTATATTGTGTTGCAAAAGTTTAACGGTTAAAATTTACGGTTATATCACTATCAACCACACTTTGTAAAAACGGCTGCTCAGCTTCACGTTTTCACATAGCTAAAGCTGAAGACATTCACTTCTTGTACTGTTGGGGCTCCTACTCCTGGGGTTTGAGACAAGGTGTATTCGTCAAAGCAGAAGCATCGATTCCCCATATTCCACTTTTCCAGCAGCAGGTATACGAGTAAAGTCATTGACTGGAGTGTTCAAAATTTATGTGTCAACAATTGTCAGTATTCTTTCTGTTCTGTCAAACCCAAAATTATCCACGCGTAAATCATTTTAAAGGTACTGTGGATGACGAAACGCGAAAAAAGCATGTCTAAATTTCCGACCCTTTTCTGCTTTGTGCTGAAGGAGAGGAGCTTAGGTTTTCCATCTAATTTTCCTCTTTTGTTTTGGGTCTATCAAAAATGCTTCCAAGTGCCATGTTATTGTCCTCGTTGGTCACTTATCATCTCGATATTTGACATTCATTTGACTCGGGAAACGTGAGAAATCCAACACACCCCCCCCTTTCCTTCCTCTTGCCTTTTGCTCTCCAGCATGTTGATCACGCTGATCCGCGATGACGAAGGTTGGGATGTGGCGGTGCAGAAGGCCATCCTCTCCTTCATCGGCACCCTCGTCTACCGTCCCATTGACGAGCGTGAGCATCCCGACCAACCGGTTCTTGCAGGCAGTGTAATGCCTCCAAACACATACCCCGCCTGTCTCGATGACAGCACCTTTGCTACACCCAAGGTCAGTCTTAATCCCATCCTCTTTCTACTACCTGCTTTTTAAGTAGTGTAGGTGGGTGAGTGGGGAGGAGGTTAAGGCTATTCGACGCTTGCTTACTCCCTGCCATTGTCGTTTGATCATCTTCCTTCGTTTCCTTCTCTTAAAAAAAGTTGTTTGCCTGCCTCCTCGTTTTTTGGTTGATAAACGAAGTTTGTGCATTCCTGTTCCTTACTATTCATCTATAGATATTGCATCTCTGCTCACAAATCAAATGTTGGCGCATGGGTTAGTGTTCAGGTCACATCAGACGATGCGGCATAGCAGCAGCTCGCTTAGAATGGAAGGTTTATCTTACCCTTCTACTTATTTCTTACCTTTTATGAGCTCAATCGCCTTACATCAGCCTTAGTAATGGTAGAGCCAGCTGAAAGTAGCCGCAAGGGTGGTGTGAGGCTTTTGCCTTAGCCGTCAATTTCTTTAGCATTCATTTGTCATTTCCTCTACAGGGTTCCTCTGAAGAAATACACTTGGTGCGTATTGCTCAAGGTTGGCCTATACTGTGCGAATAGCTTAACTGCCTTTGACTCCTTCGATTGCGGCGCTATCAGTGATATCAAACTTGGGGTTAGGGTGGTCCCCTTTGTAGCTAGTTAACGTAGAGACTCTTTCAACAGAAATTCATTCGCATAGCTTGATACAAATTTCCTTTGAAGCTGCGATGAAGGCGTTAATTTTCTCACTAGAATAGGATATTCTGGATACACTTCATCGTCCTATCATTGATGTGACGCTTGAGTTATCCCTGGAAGCGGTACAGTTCGTTAGAGCTTGAATATTCCTTTAGTATCAACGTACATAGTGGTTAAGCAGGTAATAGCGTAGGAAACCGTACAATCGTAGACTTAAGTCATACATGAATTGGTCTCTCTTTACCGTGTAAAATCATACATTTTCGGTATAATTCGGGCTTGTCCAATTTTCACGGCTGCGCAAGGCTCTTATCACATTTGAGGAAGGTGGGATATGCGGTGACAGGAAGTACCACCCAGAAGTGGTTTAAACGAGTTGATTCTCTTGTTGATTCACTCGAGAGCATGCGCGCCACACTCAGGAAGGCTCTCCTTCCAATCTCGATAATGGTGAATTACGTGCAAATATGGAAACATTAATCCGACGTGAATGTGGCAAGAACTTGCTGTAATGCTTTAAGTTGATCATGAAGTAATTAGTTTACATTCACACCATCGTGGAAGAGAAAGCCGTGGTATAAGCTACCAAGTAAGTGGGTGACATTGCTATGCATTGACAGGTGTGGCAACGTTTTGAAGATTAGCAATGTCTCACTTCCTCACGTTGCCTTGCGAAAAGGCGCCATGACTGGACCGACTGACTGACCGACTTACCTGTTACGGGAAATGGCCCTTTCATTTCAACGTTCGCTGGACGAACGGGCACAGCGCTCAACACCTACCCGACACTTCTTAGGCACACAGTTTCTTATCACCTGACTACATTGTGTGTGTGTTTGTGCACGTGCGTATGCATGTGTTGGACTGGAGGTGCGGTTGTTCACATGTGAAAGACCCAACCACAATTACGGCTAAGATTTATTTACCCGGTATAACTGTACAACTTGGAGGCGTGAATGGAAAATCTTCTTTTTAGAAATAGTCTACACAGCTAGTACCATTCGACCAGTCAGCGGAAATGAAGTCGCAGTTTCACAAGGCAGTCAAAAACAGTACATCAGTACAACATAGCACAACGAACCACATCATGTCGCATACTGATACACTAAATGTACCTGGCGAACGGGGGGATAAAAGGGTAGTCATGGCTAGGTGTTTTGCGTCTACCGACAAAATGTATTATGTATAAGTGGGGAGGATTTTAAGTTATGGATTTTAATGTCTTGAGAAGCTTTTTATGGTTACCCTAGGCCAGCTTGAGTTCCCTTGGATTTCTCCAAGATTTGCGTTTTGCCTTTATTTTTGTGCTCTTGTGTTAACCTACTTCCCAGATGGTGTTAACGGCATGTTCGCATTACTTGGAGCCATTTCCTTAGATGCCTGCATTATGCTTTTCTTTTTGAACTCACCTTCATTGATTCTTTCATTCAACTGTAATTGCTAATCCCTTTGTGTCATGCCATTAGTAATCTAGGGTAATGGTGCCTTAATGATCTAATCCATCGACTTTTCAAACTCAAGAAGTGATGGCACTTAAACCCTATTCCCATTCTTTAGCGCTTCATTATTTACCACTCAAAAAATGCCTCCAATCTAGGCACCCGTGATTCGAATCACACGGACATTAGAATCACGTGGCAAAACTATCTTGTTGATGTTGTTGTCCTGTTGGTGGCTGTGCTTATTCGTTCCACGAAACCGTCCACAAACGCCATTGCGCTCGCGCCCACATTGTTTCGCATCTGTAATGACCTTTCGATAGAACCACCTAATTTAGTTAAACTCATCCGCGAACTGGAATATACGCCTCCACTCTCTGAGATCTGGACCGAATCCCCCTTTTTACAGCAAAGCCATTGAGGCAGGTGCAATAGTCGAATCTTAAATGGGGTTTCTGGGAGCATTTAACGTTTCTCACTTTACGACAGAATCGCCTTTTTCCATCTGGTGTCCTGAGTCGCGGTAGCAGCTCTCGAAAGCGGAGACTGGATGAAATTCTTTCCCCTGGTGAGGACTCATTTTCCCTTGTCTCGCATTGCAAAAGTCTCGCCCTCGCCACTCCCGACAGCTCGCGTCCACAACGTTATTCGCATGGTAAACCTTCGGGCACCCCGAATCCATCTGTCTCTACCCCTCCGGTCCTTCTGCGACAGCAGATGCGTCTTTGGTGCGCCGTGCGTCGACAGCATGGGTTGATGTTTTTGCTGCACCAGTTGGACGTCACTCAGCCCATCTCGGAGGCGGATAGCATACGGACTCTCGCCTGTCGTGGACTTGTGGGAATGGCACGCAGTGAAGAGGTGCGATCGATGCTCGCGAAGTTGCCTCTGTTCACTAAATCGCAGCTACAGCGTATGTACCTCCCTCTTGTCTTTGAATGCTACCTATATAAGCTGTTATCCTTAGCTATTCTCCTTGGACATGACTTTTGACATCAAAGACGGACGACATTAAATGTTGGTAGCTCGTTGGTTCCATATGCAGCTTTTTCTAGTCCTCCTTAGGTAACAACTGTGGCGCTGTGAATGATGGAGACATCTGGCTTTCGTTGGCATCAATTCTGTTCAACTTGGCTCGTGCGTTTCCAAGACTGCCTTCTAAATTCTTTACCACTTCTTTTCTGTAGTGCTGATGAAGGAGCCTATCCTGCCAGACAGGATGGTGGAACACGCGGAGTTTTGTCGCTATGCCACCCTCCTCATGCGACTTGTGTTGGGCAGCCTCTCCGATGGCAGTCTCACCGACGGTGACATGTCTATGGACCGGGTGCGTCGTGCCGTCATTGTTGCGCGCACACGCATCCAGTGGGACCATGAGGAGCTGCTGGAACTCATCTGGCGTCATCTTCAGGCCAAAGGTATGCTCGTCCTTCATACTTTTCTCATGATTTTTCTGAACAGCCTTCTCCAACTCAATTGACCATTGGCTCATCTCCAAATGCGTGATGTGGATTTCTCCCACCGTCTCACTTTTGGTGGTCGCTTACTGGACACTTTCTACATTTGTGCTTGATTTGCAGGGATATCTTATGCACGATGGCTTTTTCGCATTGAGTAGCGAAGCAGAATGCATTTTACTCAACATTTCCCTCTTTAGGTCTGCATAAGTCGGCAGCGATTCTGCAACAGGAGGCGCGTCTTCGACTGGGCAACTCGTTGCCACATCAACTGCCGTTATTCGGCCATGACGGCGACTCCGATTCGGAGCCTCCCACACCCCCTACCCTCGCCAATACCATCACCACCACCACCAGCAGCAACATCGACGTTAGTACACCAACCCTGAAGGTCAACAAGATCAAACCTCTCACCAACTCTTCTCCCAGTGTGTCCAAGGTAGTAATGACGGGATTTGAATTCCACATTTGTCCACTCACCCATCTGTTCGCCCAATTCGTCCATTTAGCAACCTGGCTTGTTACCTTTTTCCAGCCAGATCTCTCGCATAGCTGACTCATTTCTGGTCTAAAATTGCCTTTTAGAATGGGACTTTTCACACTACTGACACATCAGTTTTATGTTTGTCATCTTTACCATCACTGAACCACTTTATTCATTGGTGCATCCAGCTCTCACTGCTGCTTTATTAGTACCCATTATTAAACAAGACCCCAGGTTCTTTGCTTATCCATGCTTATCTTTTTCTGCGAAGTTGACATCAAATAGGCTATTTGGAAGGTTATCACAGGAACTATCCATGGCCTTGACGATACTTGAGGAATTTCGCCATTGCATTTATGATGACGCACTGTTGAAGGGTGTTATGTTGGTCTAGAAGGACACGCAAAACTGCTCTAAGGGAAGCTTTTTATCCCCATACAAATGTGCTTCCGCTATGATATGAATTTAAGGGATTCATAAATGTTACTATTCTAAAGTCAACCTGTTAGTGCCAATCTAGAATTTGACATATTTCTCGATAAATATCTTTGTTTCGTTTCTCGATTTACTGAAGCTATTTCCACTCTTAATAATTTTTCTCAACTATTCGTACCCATGCTTTAAAGCTGCATAAATATTAATTTAGGTACTGAAAAGCTTCAAGATGGAAAACCATCTTTCTAAAACTCACTGAATTCTATCTACTTAGTTTTCCCTGTACATCTAGACCTTCAGAGACCGACTGGAACGAACCCCCTCCCATAAGCAACAGCTACAGCTGTCTCAAACCAGCTGTGTCATGATGTCTGGTGGTAGTGGCGGCAATAGCGTCACCGCCACTCCCATCACAGGCAGCGTTGGTGTTGGTGGCAGCAACACTACCGGGGAGTCAAGCGAGATGACCCTGTCTAAGATTGTGGAATCCTTCCTCATGCATCAGCATGCCCAGTGTCCCTACCCCGTCTCCGTGTGCCCCCGCTTCTCCCTTCACCATCCACATCGTTGCCCCGAGCCTCGGATTGATACGTGGCTCGGTCCCATCGTCGGCGTTCCTAGTCTAGTGGCGGCACGCGAATCTTTTGCTGGGTGTCATCACATGCGCTGCGCCCCACGTCGTTTTATCCGTCGTTTCATTCACAGTCGCTTCATGCCCATCTTCACCGTGCGTGATCTGGATAATGACCTCTACACGGCGGCCGCATTTGGGGTGAGCTGTTTGTTAGCACAGTTCAAAGGAATCACTCTCCTCGTGCATAACTGTTTCATTTCTATGCCTTTTGATCATTCCAGCGAGGCGTCGAAATGGGTGAAGGCGACGACGGTCTCTTTCTGGGCACCTCCACTGGCTCGGTGTGTTGGGTAAACGTGGAGGAGGCGACATTACCAGTAGAGCTGTTCCGTGCTCAGACCTCTCCTATCTGTCGGTTAGAGCATGCGCGTGACGGACGTCGGCTTCTGGTTTGTACAAATTGGGGCGAACCGGCGCTTCTTGTGGCACGACTAGAACAGCGGAACACTGACTGTGGAAATACCAACAGCGCTTCTGCTCCCTTCTACTCCAATCCGGACAGACCTGTGTATGTGCAGTTGCTCCTACTGGAAATGCGGTTTCTGACTGTGCTTTACAAACCTCCATTGTTAGGGTCGGCTGTCTACTCAACTTTGTTTTTCTTCAAATCGAGTATTCATTATTGAGGCGACACTGCTTATGCCAACTTCGACTTCCAAATTTGCGTCTTTTCAGATTTGCTGCTGATTCTGGGAAATACGCTGAATTCAGTCGGACAGGGACACAAAGCATGTTGGTCGCTACTGACGGAAAGATAGCCAAAGTACGCGTACTTTTTCCTAATTTCATTGTTTTAATTTTTTTGTTTGATGCGACAGACTATACCGAGGATGCGAGGTGGATATTTGGAAGACCTTAATCTACATTGCAATATGTACTACTTATTTATTATCAGCAAAAATGTTAATCTGCTTCTAATTTCAGATTTTCGATCTGACAACAGGTCAGCGCGTCATTGACCTCTTCTCTTCAGTGAAACAGAGCGACTACCTGATGAACAAAGCCACTTTCTCCGTCGATGATCATCTCGTATTAAACGACGGTGTCGTATGGGACATCCGTTGTCCTGGTTCAGGTAGTACAACACGTCCAGTGCACAAAATTGATAAATTTCAGGATGTCGTCTCCGGGGTCTTTCATCCAAATGGCCTCGAAATTGTGGTTGGATCTGCGGTCTGGGATATGCGCACCTGGCGTCTCCTCCATACGGTTCAAGCTCTGGACAAACTGGAAGTCACCTTCTCTGAAAACGCCGAGGTCATTTATGCCGGTAAGTCTCCTCCAATTTCCTTTTATCATTCGAAACTTTCCAAAATCTCACTGTGGTTCATTGGTTCATTTTCGTACAGGCAGTTTCGGCATGGACTTCGACGATCCATTGGACGAGATTGTTCAGAGTGGTCGAGTTGCCATGCAGAGCATGTTCCGTACAGTTGACGCCCTCGACTATAGCCTCATCGCCTCAGTAGACGTGAAGCATCGCATCGAACAACTGGCGGTGGATAGGAGGGGTTTGCGCTTAGCACTGGTTGAAAAATTTGGCGACAAAAATGTCGATGAACCCCTTAGTCAATGTCGCGTCTATTCCATAGGACAGAAACGCGTAATTTATTTCGAGAAGACGTATATTTTCATCTCTGCTTTCAAATTGGAAGCTAGTAACTAAAAAAACACTTTGATTTTTGTCCGCTAGTCCACTCGAGAGCTGGACACTGAGGATGATGATGACGAGGAAGTGGAAGATCGTCATGACGACGATGATGATGACGATGACGCCGATTATGTTCACATTCCTCTGTCCTCTTCTCCCACCTCGGTTGCCACGGATGAAGATGCGGAAGATGAAGAGGAGGAGGAGACAATGTCAGAGGGAAGTTCAGAAAGCAGCGATGGTGGTTCAGAGTCCTCCTGGGAGACCGAGGAAGAAATGGAAGTCTCCTCCTTCACTGAGGAAAATTAAAATGGTGATGAGGAGGGCTACGTGAAGCAGGGAGACTCATTGCTCTCGTACTTAGTGGTCTTCTCTGATTTTGTACACTAAATCATTCATGGTCTCTGGTTTCTCTTTTGCACACTACCTCGCTGACATTATTCTTTTACGTGGAAATACCCGACTTTGAGTACTATCTACTAGTCTTCTTTCTTGCTGTGGAACCGTAGTTGACTCTGCAGAAATGCAAGATTAGTGATGATGCTTTTGGGCGGGATAAAAGTGGGATCATTTTCCCATACTCTGTTATACCTTTGTGGTTCCGGCCATTAACTTGGCGGTGCGGTGCTGCTTGCCGCGCCTATAATGGGAACCTATCCCACGCTCAGCACCTCATAACACCGTCAGAGGCGACTCAGTCGCTACAAGTGGGACAAACCAATTAAAACAACTTGTTTTTTGAATAAAAATCTGCAGAATGGAATCTTTGTAGGTTGTACCATTGCAAAGTAGACAGATAGCGCCCTCACCTCATCCCCACAAATCTCGGTTTCAACACGTCTTGAGTGGGCACTTCGTGGTCCTCGAAGCAGATCCCCTCTCCTTTCCTTGTTTGTGGGCCCAATCAATGCCAAGTAAACAAGCCGTGTCCCCACGTCACCTCGTCCTAGCTCAGTTTGATCACGCCGTGATCTAGAGCATGATGTTACATTCTTATATTTGTTTACTTAAATGTGGGAATTAAAAGCGGATTTGTAATTTTTGCGGCCACCACTCCTAACCACACCACCTCAATCGCAGAGGGTCGCGTCAATGGCATGCCCGGTGAAAGCTTGACTGCAATTTCCAATCCGACTGGGAAAAAATCCTTCGAGGTAGGAGATGGGATAAATTGACAGGTGGGCTAGTTCATTTGTCACTTTCATATTAATCTTCCAGTCAGATGTGAATATTTGTTAAACATCAGAAATTAATGCTTTTAACGAAAAAGAACGTGGACGGAGTGCGAGATAAAGAAGAGAGAAAATCGGCTGATCTTCAAAAACTGGACAAAATAAGTAGCGTTACTTGGCATTTTGGCGGAAGAAAAATTAGGAATGAAGGCAATGACGGAGAAAAGGTGACTGAGCGCACCAAAGGGAACAGTTTTGATCCACTTTTATGCAACAAAAAGATGAGATGAGGAAACTATTCAAACTGCTGGATGGAAGACGCGTGCAAACAGTTTGGTGGACAGCATTAGTTGGGGCATGGCGTGTGACAGACATCTGAGCTTCTGCTAAATAAGTCGCTTCGACGAAGTCACTAAAAAGAATTATTAAAAGTGGACCTTTACTTAATTTTTTATTCACGTTCCACAACGTCTGGAGTTCATTCTCCTGGAGGCGGAGAGCTGCTGCCTTTATACTGTTCAGAGTTGAGTGGCGATCCAGAGAGAATATTCTTCATACACGATCGTCATTCTTAATATCATTTACCGATTCCATTGTTGGCCATCCGGCTGCCTGGATTACATTCGGCTACTCGGGGAGCACAAGAGGTAATATCGGTTTACAGAAACTTGATAGCTTCATGTAAGTGCCACGGACAGCTCCGGAGTAGATCTTTTAAGTCATTCAAGTGCGGTGATACTTCAATTGTGAGTTTTAGCCTTCAAGAACATGAGAATATCCTGACTGTCAAAGTTGGACGTGGTTGCATAAGCACCACTGATTCACACATTGGCAAAGGAGTCCTTATCTTCTTTAACGTCTAGGATGAGAAAATTGGTCCGAATAACTTGAATTTTGCCTGATTTATGCTCTTTGGCTTTCATTCTCATTAGAAAATCAAAAAGAAGCAATTGCAACGTCATTTACCAACCATTGAAACCATCTCATCCACGGTGGATCTCCTCTCATCTACTCAGTTACATTGGCTTTTTACAGGCATACGAACTGCTGATCTGCTAGCACCACAGCGAATATGCTATTGGTGGAATGGAAGAAGTTGCCGCTCTACTTGAAAGTCGGTCCTCCCTCCAATGATACCGATAGCGCAGCCTACGCAAAGGCGCATCGACATGAATTGTGTCGGAAGATGCACATCCTAAGATGATCCAGTGCTGCGAACTCTATGAACCACTCACTTTGAATAGCCTCTCTTAGGAATGCCGTGATACAGCGATGAACTTTCTTTTTTGGATTTCCAATCAGTGTTGTCTCCCACTCTATAAAAATCCACTTATTTGCATTCTTTTTTGTTTAAGAACCAAGTGTCCCTTCCCTATTAGTAATTAAGACTACGGAATGATTAGCATAGCTTGCTGCCATTGTCACACATAGGAGACGCTCCGACTTTCCTATCTGAAATTGACGTCACAAAAGTGTGACAGGTATCTTGTCACTACATGACAACCGAGTGTACTACATGGTATTATAAGCAGATTTTATGGTGTAAAACCGTAGAAGAGACACATAAGGACAATTATTTTTTTTAAGTCTGTTAGCAACTCATAAAACTGGTCCGTTCCGTAATACAGGCGTTGATTGCATGAGTAGAACAGATTCTGTTTAATTTCTCAATTGCTTATTAAGTATCCTGTGGTGACAGGTGAACAAATTAGATGTACCTGTCTGGCTTAAAGAGTGGGTCTGAAGTCAAACTGAAGAAATCCCGACTGACAGCACGGAAAGAGGCTTTGATGTGTGTGCCCATCTTCACCGTGACTTTGGGACACTCACCGAGGTCTAATTCTTGGTGTAGTTTCATATCATTTGATGGCCGAAAAACTTAACTTCTCCTCCAAAATTATCCACCAATTTCACTCTACTTGGATAGTTACTACCAGTGTCCGACAATTTGGAGCGTCTGCTACGTGCCATTATGGTGTGTGGACGGATGCTCCAGTTAAAACATTTCGATTCACCACAAATTGTGCAGGGGCTAGATCGTCTAAGTGAGGTTTGGTGTGTTGAGAGAACTTCTGCATTCATAAAGCGAGATACTCAAAACTATCGGAAATGGAAATATGCAAAATGAGTAGTACATTCGACAATTCATACACATATATGTATATAAAGGCTTAAATTCGATATACATTAGCTCAGTTTGGGTAATAACAAAATTTCAATTATTTGCACCTTTGCATTAGCTCATTTTATTTATAATAACAATAATACAATAATAATAACAATAGTACATGTATATGCCAAATTTTGTTGAATTTGTTATTTCAAATGAGTTTACTTGTTTACGCACATAGGTTTGAATACACTAGATCAATTTCACCTTTACAAAATCTATTCGCGGAATCACACCTGTATATGATTATGCATGCTCCATTTTAGTTTACAGTCTTCATGTATCAATTAATATCGACATAGTAATATACTTTTTTAACATTACCCATACAAAATGAGTTCACTCAATTACACATATTATAGACGTATATACGACTAAATTAAGCAACAAAATGCATTTACTCATCCAAAGCTATATAAGTTTATGTACATAACCTATTTTAAAATTAATAAAAACATTCACTCGATTGCACCTCTATAGGATTGCATATACACTCAACTTTTATAATGCACTATTACATATGTACATGGTCAATTTTAAGTGCAAGATTTCATGAGCTTATTTGCATTCTCTATTTTTTGACATGTACAAATTCACTTATAAAAATATTGAGGTAATGCACCCCTTTAGTTTACTTGATCAGCTCAACAAATCACTGTGCCATCATAACTGTCTACTTTGCGTTTACAAAACCTTCAATTCAACAAATAGCACTGCAATGCCAGGGTTGCTGTAGGCCTTTAATCATGGCAGCTGTCTGGCCTCATGGAATACCGCAATGGGTGAGTTGGGGAGTTGTGAATGCAAGCTTGATCTCTTCTGTTAATATATTTTTATTCAGAGTCTTTGAATGTCATTTCCACTGAGCGTGAGTTGGCGATCATTGAAGATCCGATCGAGCTAACCCCGCGGTCGAAGCAGGTGCCAGAGGTCAAGATGAGGAGATTGAAAAAAAATGAGCGAAAATTTTAAGGTGCAAGTAAAAAGCTAATTTTCGCCCTCCCCTAGCAGCCTGCGATTCAAAAGGCAGGGCTAATTAGTCGAAAACTTGCGGACATTTTGTATCCTTGTCAGTTTGACAACATGTATCACGAAGGCGCTCATTAGTTCCACTCAAATTTTATTTGACTTCTCTCTACTATTTTACTTACACATAATCAGTAACCATGTTCTTTTATGATCCATTTTCGGAAATTTTCATTTAATTTTGCGTGATTTCCAGCGATCAAAACAACTAAAGCATTTTCTTGACAAGTTAGCCTCAGGTGCTTTCAATCAACAGGGACGCCTAATTTGTCGTTAATCTCAATGGTACATCTTTCTGATTGGGCTATTTAATTCCTAAAATCGCCTCTCTTAGACTTTGGAAATTTACAACCACAGCTTCGGCAGCAGGCAGGCTGGAATCACATCCATCATGTTCAAAAGAACTTGGTAATATGGGGGTGATTTAAAAACAGGAGAAAATGTTGGACAGTGTAAAGGAAGTGATTCAATGATAGGTCAATGATATCTGTGTTTTATAAAAAAATAGAAATCATTGCATTTCATGTGTACTTCCAAGTAGCGACTAGTCGTTGCAATGAGCTAAATAAAAGAGGATTGACACGTTATTTTTGATATCAAGAGTTGTTAAGTGCAAATTTTTAAATGGTGGTCATTTCTAAAGTCATTAGCAGATTTTTTCGAAAGCCTCATTTATTGTCTACATACATGTATTAATACTTAAGTCCAGAAAAAATTTTTACAGGAGTTGTTTTTGCTTTCAACAACTCCTTCCAAATCTTTAATTTCAAAAAAAAAGATATAAACTACTAGGGTAGTTAACCAGCCAAATTAAATCAACATTTTTCTATTGTATAATAATATTTGCTGATTTTATGTAAAATGACTTCATGTTCTTGTAAATTATATCAGCCGGTCCTCGTCCATTTTTAGCATAATTACCAGTAAACTTGTCAAACATACCATGCATTTATTAGATGGATTTCATATTATTAATAATCCCCAATTTCTTTTAAAGATCAGCAAGATTGGGTTATCAAATACGTCATTGCTTTATCTTCTAAAGGACCACTTAACAATTCCATCCCTTAATAGTCATGCTCAAGTTACAAATGACTAGTCAAGCACATGAACAATGCCCATTGGCTGGGCGTTTATCTAGTTTTCATTTGCTTAGACTCTTAAAAACACCTTAACCTACACATCGGTTCCATTTTACAGGGATGTGCAGAAATAAATGAGCAAAAATATACGTTGAGCCAATGAAAGTCCCAAACTCTTCCATTTTGACCTGCAGTTACCGTTTAAGTGTCACAGACAAAGTGGGAACGCGAATGTTGACAATCAGTCAAATCCTTCATATCAAGAGCGCACCGCAAATTGAAGAATTGAAATGCCTATCCAGGCATACCGCAAATAGGATTACTCCCTCTTCCTAAATACCTTGCCACCATACTATGGCTTTAACACTGTATTTCATTTTGGCATTACTATCTTGACACGTTAGTGATCCGCCACAAAATTCATATTGAATTATCCTCATTCTAGTCCTAGATAGTACTGATATTATGAAAAGTAGTTAAGTAATAACACGGATAATTTAGACTTCGGATAAAAGGGTACAACTTTAAATTGCCTTATTATAACTACCCCGTAACATTGTCCTACTACCATTAAATTCGAGGCTTTTATAGGAAAGTTAACATTTGATTTGGTCCATTTCACTTGAGACTTTGACTGCATATAAGAGTGACATCGAGTTGAAACCGAGGAACGCCCATCCATGTTCAAAAACCACCTCTAATATGTGAACATTAAAGTAGCTTAGCAGGGCATCGAACAATTCGCACTCTATTCTCTCCAATTTTCAGTAGCTCCATTTAAACTTAACTATGAACTAAGACGAAGTCCCAAGTTCCTCAAAGACCCCAGGGTTTTGGCTTAATGGAAATTTTAACTAGTTAACCGGCCTTTTTTCTCTCCACTTTCCTATTTCAAGACAGCACATTTGCAATAAATTTACAATTCATCGCAAAATCGAAAAGGTCATGTACATGATTAGAACCCGATTAAGGCAAAAATGGCTTTCCCCTTTGCCACAAACTATCATTTTAATGTATTTTAACCTTACATTTAATCCGACGATTGATTTACAACACTTTCATTGCGTTAACAGCACTTTAAAATGAGACAGATTCTCAAAAGTGTAAGATTGGTATTGTTTCGCGAATTTATATTTCAGGGCAATCTTATTCTATTTGCCTTTCTCTAAGGTAAAAAATGCAGCATTTAGTTTTTCGAGATAGTCAAATTAACCTTTTGCTTGGATCATTTCTAACGCTGCTTTTCCCATAACCCTTTAACCTATCTTTAAAATTTTGAGTTTTCAGTAATATTTTCTCACTTTAGAAGTCTGTTTTATAATTTTCACTCTTTCTTTGGACAAACTGCATTTAGAAAAATGAAATAATAATAATATAGTAACAGTGAGGGATAGTGGTATTGCCTTCCACTCACGTGGTATCACATACAACAACACATCCTAATTTGGCTTCATCCCGTCACTATCAAAGAATCCTTAGTTATTTAGGTATACCATATCGTAAAAGGCGTCCTTTACTTTTTACAATGTCTCCTTTACATTATTAGCTTTGGAATTCCTTAGGCATACTCGATTCACACCTTTGCAGCTACAGGCAGTAAAGCGTGATGTTCTAACACGTTAATTAACCTCTTGACCTCAACATCAGGCTGCATACTAGTGCAAAACGACATCTTCGATCCCTCGGAGGTGGCGGTCCCACCATAGTCCTTCATCGCTGTCAGTCAACCAACCACTGGACTGGGATCCATGTTTAGCTGACAGAGTTATACTAAAAAATACAGGTCGTTAGTTTCACAGTCTGGTAAATGCATTAGATTTCCGAATTTCGGCTGTAGTGTTTACTTCCACGTATTGTGGGAACTGCGAAAGATAGGACGTGACCTTACAGATAAATTCAATCATTTTGGAAGTATTCGATCGTCCACAACTTTCCCAACCCTGCTACAAAGAATGTATTCTTATTGGGTTTCAATATCTTTTTTGCAATGCCTAAGGTGACGTTTTAGATGGCATTTTAAAAAGATACGGTCTTATGCTCACTGTGATTGGTGGCTAACAGGTCAAGGCCGAAATGCTTTTTTACGTTCCAGATTAAGTTCAAAGTCCATGAATTAGGCGCGATAAGAGACTTATAGAAAGTAAAATCTTTAGCAATGTCTTAGGAGCAATTGCTTTGAACCCAAATATATTAGGAATCGTTCTAAGAAGTAATTACTAATACTAAACCATAGCGCTAACCTGCATTTAGAGCTAGCAAATTATTCCCAAAGATTTATAATATACTGATAGGGACTAAATTTGAGCTGAAAATACCTTACCATTCTCCGGCCATGGCACAAGTGTATTTTTGCGGTCTAGGTACATTTTCAAATGAGGCGACAGTCTGAATATGTTGGATGGTGCTTATCTAAAGGGCTTCAATGGCCTACAACTTCTTCTTCTTTGAAGTGACGAATATGGCTGCACAAAACGACTCATCAGATAAGAACATACTGTAAAAAATCAAAGCCATGAATAAATACTTCACTGGACAACTTTTCAAGAAAAACCCACAACCCATGCAATAATTAAATTTATTTTTACCACGACCAGCGTAAGCACTGACTACTTTCCTAGTCCAGAGTAGGCTATTTGATAGATGTCAAGTTACAAAGATACTGCACAAGGCTTCTTAAAGCTTTTGTAATATATGTATTTAAAGTATACGTGAACAATATTTTTGGATAAAAAATCCAAAAGTGGAGAAATTTCCGACATACCTGAAGTGGCATAAGGAGCAATCAAGTGGCCATCATTAGGTAAACTCTATGTTTACTTAAACTATCCGCACCGACTGTTCAGCATAAAGTGGCTTTTATAATACTGATTTCGTGTATTATGGATATAGGTATGCGTCAACTTTACTCTTCTACTACTCTTTACCCCGATTTTTAAAGTTTGAGTAAAATAACTCGGTGAATGTGAATCGAATTTTCAGCAGTCTTATTATTGAGTCTACTTGGTGTTAAAGCTTCTGTTGCAGACACTTCCCCAGTTCATGTGTTATTTGAAAAGTGTGAAATGAAATGCTTAAAAATGCTGTTATGATAATGAGCTACTTAGAAATAAATCCATTATGCTAAATGAAATTGTATATTATTAATAACAATGCCGAAGGATGTGGCATTTTTAGTTAAATCGTTGGGGGATTAAATGCTCCCGAAACCTACAAATCAGGTGAAGGTGGCAATGATACAACTTACCCAAACCATCTACATCATTTGGGAATGGATGGTGCGGTTGGAGCTGCTGCACAAATTAGTTTCCTGCACAATGAAACGCATCTGGTCAAAAGTGTCTATTAAACGATATCAATTTGAAGTTCTTCGCTTCTGCCGCATGTGTCATAGGGGGATTTTTTGACCGGTGGTTAATTGGCTGAACCACTGACTGTCTCGTGAAACCAAATGGTTATTTTATTAAAGATTTTACGCCCAAACGAATATGTTCACTCATTTGAGAAAATACACACTCAAATGCACTGGTTCCAAGATGCAAAGAACTGCAAATGAATTTATACCATTTCAAAAATGCATAATGCATCCAAGCGTAAACACTCATGTATCCTCAATTACGTTAACACAAGACGGATTTTGCCTTTTCTTGTCCCTCCTTCCCCTAAAAGTAAGAATTATAGGCCTCCTTGATAAGAGTATAAAGACTAATTCAACATTTTGAAGCATTTATTTTTTTACTGTTCGAAAATTTATATTAGGTTAGAATTCTTGCCTTCTCACTCTACTACTCACCCCTCACCTGCCCAAAATTTGTCTTTAAAAGGCAATTTTCATTCATTATACTACTATATGCGAAACGCTCATACCTGGATTGTGAAAATGGATTAAGGAAAATCAAATGGGTAAGGGAAGTGCCCTCCTTTTGCATCTAAGTTTGTGCTTATATTATCCTGTAGTTTTCCACCGCTTTGATACATAACCGTCACCTTTCTGGAAGTTGTGCGGAGATCTACTACTACTGAAAAACAATTTTGAAGTAATTAGTTGTTTAAATTCGCATATGACCATACCGTACTTAAATAGAGGGATATCTTCAAATCACTCAACAATTAAGATTTTTTAGATTATAAATAATACCTGACTTAACAACCAACTTTTAATTTTTTTCATTCTCCCTAGCTTTAAAAGGGTATAGTTGATACATGCACGAGTCTTTTATTTGTTGGCACATTATTATAAGTGGTTTTACTTCCGTCGCTTCCTCTTCATGGATTACTTCGATTTGCTTTGTCATACTTTGCTCATATCCATCAGATCAGGACCATACCAGTTCACCAGCAAAACTTTGTCGCGATCTCGATCTCTGTCCGCTTCCGTTTTCACCCAAATTCCATTAAAAATGTGAATATGAGACCTAGTAGCTGCAATTTCAAGTTATTAATGCTTGTGCTTGCGACTTGGTTTGACCGCGTCTCTCTTGTTCAGAAAATGAACCCATTTGCGTAACAGCACGTTCAATTTAAAATGTCTTGTGTTATTTTGTCAGGTTACATGAGGTGGACATGATTGGATAAAAAAGTGTTTTCCCTTCTACCTTCTATAATAGGAGCTACCCTCAGGGTTTTAGACTCATTCTACAGAGTAAATGACGCAGGAGTGTTTACTTGGGAAGCAGCAAGAATGGGTAGTGGATATGGTACACCACGCAGCGGTAACCACTGGTCATATACATAACTTTGAAGCAGTGGGTGCCTTTTATTCTACCTCTCGTGGAATAACCATCTCGATCAATGCATATTCACTGAGGATACCGACATTTGCAATGCGTACAAGTTTGGCTGGAGCAGTCTCGCCTACGTTATTCTCGAAGCCCTCAGAAAATGAAGCAACCGAAGGAAGAAGACCATTAAGAGCGGATAAATTTGTCATCCTGACCTCCCCAATAACGCAGGGAGTGTTCAACCGTAAACATTTAAGTAGTCGTTCCGACTACTTCTACCCAAACGACAGTTGCCCAATCTTGTTTAGTACCTTTTAACGAAAATTAGGAAGAATCACAGTAGTTTTGCATAAAACTCTTGCAAAGCCTCAACTTACACCACTATTTTTTGTTTTACAAATTTATCTGCCACATTTCGCATTTTTTTAGCACGCAAATAGCATAAATGGTTAATTTTCATGTGCCCAATCGTACAGGAAGTCTTCTTCCCCTCAGATTTGATTATCATCATTGAAATAGTGAGTACTGCGGTACTCAAATTCATGAAACCCAAGGTCTGAATTATAGAGGCCAACAACAGTTCCATTAGAATATGGTGTTAATTCTGTTCTAAGCTGAGGGAAATTAGTCTTTCTCAAATTGCGCATTCCTGAAAGATTCAGTTTACTACTTCCACAAAACTGTTCAAATAGTGTGCAATTTCTTAGCAAATTTTAATATCCAGAATCAGAGGTCTTACGGGCCGCTGACTTCGCCGCTTCTCCTTCTAAAGTATTTCATTTTTTTTAAGTTTTCTACTTTAATAGCATCCAATTTCCTTTACAAAGTTCCCTCTCAAAATAAAAACTCAGCTGAACCGAAGTTTCACTTTGTCTACCTTAGTTGAGTCAGCTTCTCGAGCAACACTGACCGCATAACTTCTCTGGACTGAAAATATTTCCTTCTTCAAAGCCACCTCCAGAAGTCAACAATAAAACCCGGACATCTCTACTTCTCCCAGTCTTAGTATCTATCAGTCCCTTTTACCAAGAAATGGTGAAATACGGACAAAGGTAAGAGGACCAATGCAGCATCTTCCAGTTCATTTCATTTTGGAGAAGAATAGTCTTCTCACAGAGCTGTCCCATATTTTGAAGTCTTGAGTTGTCGCATAAGAACAGAAATTGTTTCTTACCGACTTCCCACCCCCAAGTACCTTGACCGTATCTGAGATGGAAGGTTTGCCTGCCAACTTTTCAGTGGCATCGAGTCAATAGATTTTAAGCATAGTCATTGATCGGGCTTCAACAGGTGAAGAGTTTCGTCTGCAGTAGATCATACATGCACATACATTGTGTGTAGTTTTTAGGAAATTTGACATTTCGTGCCTTAATGCTGCAAGATAAAGCCGTAGTAAGTAAATAATTTCAGATTAACCAATGCTGAGTACCTTAACAAACTCGAAAGCTCGTCAGCTGCTGTCAATCAGAAGTCCGCAGTTCAACTAATATTCCTCTCTAAATGTGATATCCATTTCTTGGCTCTGCAATTTGTGAATGCGTGAACCTAATCTTCCACTATTACAGAAGCCTAACGATACTGAAAGCTCCCTCTTGGCCGTCTACCGTTTCTTATCTCAAATCATTTAAGTAAAACATTTTTATCAACCGGTCCATTTTTAGGTAATCTACTTCAGCCATTGAAACATGATTTTTAGTTTGTGCCCCGCTAAAGACGATGATTGCCACAGCCTAGAAGGTTTATTACCCTCACTTTTGCTAAGGTCGGATGAAGCCTATCAATAAACCTTCTGTCCATCATCTTGAGCACCTTCCCCATTTGAATATCCCTTATATGTGGAATAGCTACGGAGTTAAAGTATTAGAGGTCATTTTCAGGAAGAAATTAACCTTGACGTTTCGAGATCCACGTGAACACAACTTTGACAATTTATATCAAACATGCAGAGGACCACATAAACGGAGCTCTTCGAATGAAGTGAGGCGGTGCCCTCAGTTGAGAACGAATGCCTCATTTTTCACATCCTACCTCATTCACCATGTGTTACCATCACTAAACCGTTGAATTCTCACACGCAAAATCCAACATGGTTATTTCATAATGCCCATATACGGCAAACTTCTATTTACTGTGTCAGATGTTACGTTTCAGTGCCGCCTAAATGAGGCAACATCAATCAACCCCTCAGATAAAAAGTGTTTGTGTGACCTGACTCTGAAGAGAAGTCTATCACTACGGATAAAAGAACACATTTCCAAATATAATTATGCAATAATCGAAACAAAGTCTTGACATTTACGACAAGAAGAATTGCACTTTCTCCCACTTGTGAAATTGAGCAGGTATACATCTCTTTATAAATGCAAAGTTTTGTGCTGATTCCAAAAGTTGTTAAACTAACCGCACATATTTATGATTGCATGATTTTCAAATTTCTAAACATGTGAGGGTGTTATTATCTGCATGTATTCTGGATTTGTTAAATTAAATACAAATATCTGCATATAAAATAGTTAATTATCTGGGTCTTACATTTGCGAAATTGTATAAATATTTAGCTATAAATGTGCAAATATTTGCATGAAATCCTAAAAGCGAGCATATGCATATACGCATATATGCTCACCTGCAAAAGTGCTAAATATACCTGCACATGTACACCTGTGTATATTTTAATGTACGAGCAAATTCACAAAACTTAAAGGACACACAATCACTCACACACACAAATATAGAACAATTTTACAAATATAAGTACATGGAGTCATTTACACCTTTGCGTGCATAAACATATACTCGGTTTAACAAATTTAAACTACTAAAGCAACTTCACGCCTCTAGATGTATATGTGTGGTAAATTTCACAGATTTAATCTGCATGCAACCTATAACAATTTTGCTTGCATAAATATGCTTAATTTTACAAGTTAATTCTTTACTCTTAAAAATACAAATCGAATTCACGAATCCACACAAATATGGACATATTTCTGTGTTTGCGTAATTTCACAAAATTTGAAAATCATGCAACCACTTACAGTTATATATGCATATATGTATGGTTTATATCACAAATTCAAATACACACAATCTTTTCACCTTTACAGATATACAGATGCTTAATATCACAAACTCCATATGTATGTAATTATTTGCACCTGCACAGATATAAATTTATGACAAATTTCTCAAATTTGAGATGCATGGGTCCATTCATAAATTTGAATTCCTCGGAATGTTTTGCACACTTATAGGGATATAAGTAGGCTTGATGTTACAAAAACGAAACAGATGCACACAATTTTAGAAATACATATGAATGCACAGATTTACAAATTTACAATACATAGGATAGCTTACATGGCACAGCTAAATACATGCCAAATTTGACATCTTCGAAATACATTCAAATATTCATACTTAGAAATTAGTAGTTACAATCAATTGCAAAGATTCAAAGTGTATAGAATATACATATATATACATATATATTCCGTACATAGAATATGCGGAATACACCTGCACATTCACACCTATACGCATGTATATATAAACATGAACTTTAAAAAAAGCCTGAAGACACGCAACCGTTCACATACATATATTTGCGTGCTTAATTACACAAATCCCTAATAAATACGGCTATCCACTTAGATAATACCTAATATTTATGGTCGATTTCGCATAATTAAAATGCACAAACCATTCAGACCTATATGTCTATGCTCTTTTGAGCAAATACAAACCATATCCATATATTCCTTTACAACTTTATAACAATGTATGCGCCTAACTTTGCAAAATCGAAAGAAATGCAATCCTTCAAACCCAGTTGCGTATAACTGATTGAAGGAAATTAATTAATACCCACAGAATGTATAGATTTTCACTTTTGGAATGTGTGCTATTGTACTTCTACATACTCATATCTATGCTCGATTTCACAATTTGATTCCCATGCGATCATATGCACTGGTAAATGTATACCATATTTCACAATTTTAAAATAGTGCAACCATTTAAACCCACACTAGTACAGGTTTAAATCAGTTTGACGCAGTTAAAATGTGTAAAATCATTCACACCTACGTGCATATATAAGCACAATCTCAGAAACTGGATATATGCAATTATTCACGCCACTGTACATACGAACAATTTTTCATAATCGTTCACACCTGTATGTATATGTGCCAAATTTGGCAAAAAAACACTTGAAATTTAGAAATAAGCCTAAATTCACAAATTTGAGATTTATGAAGTCATTTAAAATTATATATAAGTGGAAAAATTCACAAATTTATAATACACACAGTTACAATTTTATAGGCATGTATCTGTAAGTTTAGTTATACAAATGCACAATGCATATATTCCTTTGCAGTTTTACAGGTACATTCATGTGCTTAAACTCTCAAAATTTGAAATACACAATGTAATTTACTTTTACGTACAAGCATAGTCTCAATTTCTAAAATTTAAAATCATGCAAACCATCACATATCTATGGAGATGTATTTATAATCAGTTGTGCACAATCTTCATGCATAAAACCACTTACGTTCTTTAAGAATCTGATTGACACGTGACGATAAGACAATCTATGCAGATTTGGATACACCTCATGATAAATCCCGAGTGATGAAAATGAATTTAGACAAAACAAGAAATTAAACTAAGTAATGGCAGTAGAATTAAAGTCCCTTAAATTATATTCCTTCAACGTACCTTTAAGAAAATCTTTACTGGAATTTTGCAGAAGAACTAGATAGATATAGCCTAACCTAAGAACAAATATACAAAAATAAACAAGCTTGAAAGTATATGCATATTATTTCACGAATGCAATTCACCCATAAAATAAATCGCAGCATACAAACATATGTATAGGGATGTAGCACCCCGAGACTTTCTGGAAGACGGAAGAACACATTATGGCTCGAGCAGACTATACATATTTGACATGGAAATGGATTGAAGGGCCAGTCTAACCGGCAAAATGACAATCTTGGAGCATTTAGGTAGGTCCTTTACCAAAACCGATGCTTAAACAAGCAACCAGCGTATTGTAAGGCTCCTCTCCTCATTTACGCGTGGTTCTTGGTGCTCCCCTTGATCAACCTTCCGCTTAAGCCATCACTACATGATCAATGGTGAACAAAGACACCCACGAGCCAACCGTGTCAATCGTCGAATTTCCATGCAACCAAGGAGATCCTTAACGGCAAAGTGACTAACCCTTCTTGCGAATTTTACTAGTTATGGAGTTCAATCTTATTTAGGAATTTGGTTTAAGGATTGGGGAAAAAAACCTAGCCTTCGCACTTGTTCATAGCTAGTTGTAGGAAAACAGGACTAAGAGTAAAACAATGCAACAAAGGATGGGATTTAACGTAGTTCCATGGGAATAAGATTGCGCTTCTATTCCATTTTCTTAGGTTGCTTTCACTTCAGAGCTAGCCAGCCATATCTATCTGGGTTTTATTCAGCTAATAAAGAAGTGGGAGATATACTGTGTATCCATATCATTGATAACTGCATACGGATATAATGGACAGATACGTAATGAATTTTTTTTGGATACTTTATGGTTAATATTGCTTTTGTTGGTAATGGTCTTGTTGCGGAAAACGGGACAGGGCATTTGCCGAAAGCGGACCACAATGTCAGCCCTTTTGTGAGGGATCATAACTACTTATTCCATCCACAGTATATGCACTTTCTTTGTCCCACTAAGTCCCACCACCTAGCAGCAGAGATAAATTTAATTCCTTTAAGATTTAAACTGATCCCAACCTCCACCGATGCGGTCCTCCGAGACTTCCTCGAGGACGAAGATAGACGCAATACTCAGGCAGAGTACATGAATTGGAAGTTCAGTATGTCTGCGGCTAGTGGCAAAGGCACAATGGAGGAGCACCCAAGCGGCCCCCTTGCTGAAATCAGGCGTTAAATAAACGGCCGAATTATTTCGTGTCCTATTTAAATAAAAGAAAATGTGCTTACAAACACAAATATGAAGTACATCCACTTAAACGTACGTATTCTGAGTGATGAAAGTCATTCCAGCAACGAATAACCTCTTTCGGTCTATCACAACAAAATACGTCCCCACAAAGATGCATCTTCGGAAGGTCTTGAGGACGAGGTTCGCATAATAAGGATAAAACACCACAAAAATATAACTTATAGATACCGGCCATAGGGGTAGCACGATGATCGGCACTAAAAAAGACAAGGAACTGTATAATACATCATCGTCTGCGTGTACCTTTTGAGACAGAAGCGGTCAAAGACTACGGGCCGCCTAGTTGAGCGAACGTTAATAGATCCTAAGCAGAAATCAACTCTAAATCCAAGTAACCTTGATCTTTTAGCCAATACAATATGTGCTCAGCAAGCCAAGGGAGTGAAGTCAAAGGCGGAAGAGAGGAGCACTAAGCCTGCTGCACCGCCTTGGTTGACAGGACGTCCGTACAGGAGTTAGCCAAGATTAAGGGCGGGTTACTGGATTTGTTACGCCACCAGGTGGTAGGGCAGTTAGGACTGCCAGAGGCAAGGGCTGGTCTTCCAATGGTTGACATTGGTTTCCTAGTATTAGCGGACTTAAACTGCATCCATATGTGATAGTGGATAGGCAGGTATCGAAAAATGGGAGAGCTAAATGAGGATGTCAGGTTCCAGGCTACTTGGCAGTCAGCAAAAGTTAGTCGTCTGGGAGACCCATCGGAATTGTTTTTTTTAGGAAGTACGTTTACTTCCTCTGCCCACATTCACCCTACATCCCAACGGTCTTCGTCCTGGTGCCAAGAGCATCAAGACTTTGCATCCTTTTTATTAGATACTAACCAATTTCTGCCTCCAAAAGTACCATTGACAAAGTCATTGCAACATTTTTTGACTCAAGAGTGGTCGCTGTTCTCTCATTCATGTCTAAGAGGGTTTGGAGCAGCTGACCTAGGGGAACTGGTGAAAGTCTATCAAGCAAATCTACGCACGCATGCACCCAATTGACAGTTTTTGAGGTAAAGCAACCAACTGCGGGAGTCCGTCGATGATCAATCCAATGGTTATCTAGAGTACCACTTGCGGCTGGGCACCTTCAAGTGCGTGACGGTCCATCACACTGCTCTAGCCGCTGCCAGTGCCCTTTGTGGCCAATCGAAACACTTCAGAGTGCCACGGTCTATGCCACTGTATATGCATTTGCGGCATACCTTCTACCAAGGCGTACTGCATCCAGATTAAGACTGGACTTGACCTACTTCCACTCCACTGTTTTCATCGGCTATGTTCGAACCAGGTGACAATCAAACCAAATGCTATCAGGGACAATTATAAACACAGCATTCAAAGAAGTCATCGACATTCTCTTTAACCTTCCACCTCTGGCTTCGAAGTTGCCAGATAGCGAGTGACCTTTTACGCATGCGGCCTGGGGCTATATTACTACTCCGTGAAACTGGACTTAACCACTCTTGCTTATTTTCTGAGCTAATGCGCAAATATAAATTACTGCTAGACTACCATCTCTGTATCAGATGTTGTTTTACAGAAGACTTTGGCCAAGATGACGCTCTGTTGCTCCTAATTAGCAGATATCTAGAGAAAAAAGCATAGCTTATGCTTGTTCATTGGTTGGGCGAAAAGGATGTTGGTTTGTCTATCCTGTGTCCAAAAGCAACCACCTGGAGGGCGAGCTCACATGGCATACTAACTGTAATGTCGATTCCCGGAATTTTCGCCTATAAGTTTTTCTCCAGTTTTTGTGGTTAGTACATTTACAACCCCCATCCCAATGGCTAGTTTGAGGGCTGCTTAATCCCATTCACTAGGCATAACTTCTCCCCATTTACCAAGTCACTTAGCCTTGCCCTCCTTTTATCTCACCGCCTCGAAGGAGCCAGTCGGTTGACAATTTGGGCCTGCTAAAATGTTTTGATGTAATTGGGTGTCATAAGTGTAGGGATGACTTTCTGATCACTCACTTGAAGGCAACGATGATGAGTAGAGCAACACCACGAAATGGAATTATGTGAGTGCTCAAAGGGTATCGTACCTGTTTTGCAGGTGTGCAACTGTTCAATTTTCCTAGCTGAAACACAACTTACAAATCAGTAACATATGCTCCCTACCGATTGTTTTATAATTACTGATTGCACCGAGTTCGCGCTCAAAGAAAGCTGTATGGAAGGTCGTGGCATTCCTTATAAATATTAGTGACATCTAGCGTCACATATGAATAAGGCAGCCTAGATATAGGTGTGGTGGTTGACTAGCACCCAAGATGGAACATTAAGACAAATTCCTTACATGGTAACACTGGAAGTCCAAAAAAACTGCCTGTGTTTTGCTCAAACCCTTTGAATTAAAATTCATCCAAAATTAACTTGTCAAGTGACTCATTCAGTAACTTACCAAGTCTGATCCTAGACCTGTACCCAACTCACCAAACCAATGCACAAACATGTGGCACTGGAACATACAATGTAACAAGATCACTCGCACCAATGTTCAATGCTAACTAAAATGCCTTTAAATGGATGCAAAAAATGCAAAAATCACGTCTGAAAAAAGGGAGAGATTTAAAATTTTGCTACTATAGAAGTCAACAACGGCTGAACCACAAGTCATATCATTGTTAGGTGAAGTCAGGGAACCCACCCCATTGATGCGTAAAATATTTCCGCTGCCTTAGAAATGAAACGCCTCAGCAGTAGAAAACGTGACAAAAGCTTCGGGGGCTGCTGGATATCCCCTCACGATGGCGATGGCGCAGAAGCAAATAAAGAAGTTTTGAATATGCTTCTATTCCATCTAGAAGAATTGTTGTAAATAACCAACAGAATGCCAGTTTTGTCGTCGCTAAAAGCCGCTACTTCTCCGCAAATAGACGATATAGTAGTTATATCTACCTAAACATGCCCTAGAATGCTGGAAAGGTAAAGTAACTGATTTCAAATCTAGCATGATGGTGCTTTCCAAGCCAGAGGATGAGGACGCGCATTTAGGACAGCCTTCATTTCCTGCGGTGTGGTATTTACAAATGAAATGCCTCGTGGTCTTCCACTCTCGCCTTCTGGAATCATATCCAAACCTGTAACGTTGCCGTAGCGAGAGCAGTACGCCGTCAAGGCGTGACGCGAGTTTGAAGACTTCGGGTAACCAAGGAATAGGCGCAACTCATTTACTTCTAGCCTTATCGCAGGAACCTTTACCACTGTCCCAATTCCGCATTCTCATCCTCTTCATTCCTGAAAGAAATACGTTTCCACTGCATCTACAAATAGTCAAAAGCCCTCACTGCTTCCCATATTTCAGGTCTCACGTATCTTCCCTCAGTACTCAACCCGCAAAACCCTTCTACATCACACTTCAGTGAACAGAAATGTTCATTGCCTAAACTTACTCTTAACCTGGTTGAATTGTAAAACTACTTAGCATCCTCTGACATAAAAAAGC